CTCTTACATATATTAGTGATAACAGAAACATGATTTACAAAGATAGGGCCCCAAGTCTCTTTAATCGTCTTGTCCAAGTTGCCCAACTCTTCTAAGGAGTCAATAATTGTGTGTAAAGGTGTGTACTGTGACTAATACGACTGAATTCAAACAAGAATGTATATTGATAACAGCAATTTTTCAAGTAGAGTGCTGTTTGCTGTTTTCTCTCCAGGCTTTCTATCCTGCTAACAAGGAGGTGAATGTGAAGAATGGCGACACCATTGCAGCCAGATGTATGTTCACTGGTGAGGGCAGAACTTCCAAGACTTATATTGGGTGAGTTCTGTTATAAAACCCAATACACCTAATGCACCATTTAAACTGTATTGTAGATTACCTATAACTCAAAAGTACCTTCTCATTTGTATGTATTGTGTATTTAAATATATGGAAGCAAATAAGGATCATTCATATTTTTATATTGTGAAATGATGTTCACAAATAATTCACAAACAGCTTGCAGTTGTATATCACATTTTGTGTGCATGTGACAAAAAATGCATGCACTTATCTCAATGTGGGAATTTGTAAAATAAACAAATAAAATCTTACAAATTTGAGCTGGTAAATATGTTGTAATAAGTTTTGCAGCTGTAGAAATTTTCTGGACAAGTTGTGTGATGCAGATATAGTTTGCATTTGCATTTGCAAATTGTGTCCCACTATGGGGAACGCCTCCTGCTTGACCTCGTCAGAAGCTGAAATAACATTACATCATTAGCGCCAGCCCTAACTGGCTGGCGCTAATGACGTCTATGTCAGTAGGGGAAAGGAGGGTGGTCTGGTGAGACACTCACTCATCATCAGAGATTATACCGATAATTCATAACCTTAAGTTCTCTTTCATAGCATTCGTTTTGTGTCTCACTATGGGGAAAAGAATATCGACTCCCTGTCCCCAGTGGCACTTCACAAGCGAGGAGCCGAATGTACCAGAGTTGGAGCCATTACATCCAACCTATAAAACCTAGCAAATGTGTGTGGTGAGTTCCAGCATGCAGCTGCACACCCCTCTTCAATAGAAGGGTTACAACAAGTTCGCTAGACCCCTGGCGGAATATACACGGAGACCATCGGGAGGCTCTAGGCCCTTGCTGGCATAAGCCAGAGCAATAGCCCCCACTATCCAGTGGGAAATACGCTGTTTGGACACAGGCTTTCTCGCATGAGTCTTTGCCCAAGACACAAATAACTGGTTACCCTGTCTGAAATAAATTTGTAGTGCACAAACTGGACACAGAGTATGCAAACGCCAGTGCTTCTCAGGAGAAAGGCGGGGGATAAAAAGCAACCAGTTCTATAGGGGAGCACAAGCCCATAACCTCTGGGATGAAGGCCGGGTTAGGTTGCAGACTGACATTAGCATTCACTGGAGAAAACTTTATACATGCCTGATGCACAGAAAGTGCATGGATCTCACCTATACGCTTAGCCGAGGCTAAAGCTAGCAATAAGACAGTCTTCAGCGACAACATTCTCAACAATACTTATTGCAGTGGTTCAAAAGGGGGACAGGAGAGAGTGTCTAGTACACTGGGAAGATCCCATGACGAGGCTAGTGGTCTAGATGTAAGCAATTTACGCCATGCACACTTCATGAATCGCCCACTGACTTCCCATCAAAACCAAAGTTGTAGGCAGAGATAGCTGCCAAGTACACCTTGATTGAGAAGGCCCTACCTTTCTCAATAAGATCCTGTAAAAAGGACTGAATCGCTGCCACATAACACTGACAAGGGACAGTTTATGACTCTGAGCACTAGCTCTCGAACACACGCCCCTTATGCTCATATAACATCCTAGTCCAAGGTGCACTGAATAGTGTTAATAACACCAAGCCCATAGAGCTAAGCTGCATTGTTAAGGTTCCATCTCTCCTTCACTGTTCTCCCCTCGGGAGTGGCACCCCAGCCCATCAGAGAGGCGTCTGTGGTGATCACCTTTCTTGCCAGTACGGTTCCCATGGTAACACCTTAAGTCAGGAAAACCTGGGCTCTTCCACTGGCGAAGTGCTTGAGAGCAGTCTGCTGAAATCCTCACCTGACGGTGGCCATCACGGTGAGGATTCAGGCCCAGAGAGGCTACCAAGTTATGTGTCATCGTGCTCTTTTTTTACATTTATCTTAAAACCCAGATTCGGTCTGTCTTTGAGGGAAGAGATGGAGCCGAGGAAGAGAGGGAGGCCTTCCTCTATTGGCGGCATCTGGCAAATGCAGTGAGACTCAATCCCCTCACAATCCTTCAGGGTGGCTCCCATGATGGGGTGTTTTTCACTGTAGGGCTTATCTTTCCATGCAGGTGTCGCGTCCAAGCCCTCGGACATGTCCACTTTTCCCTGCGGCGTTGCTGCTTCCCCCCGACAGGCTAACCCAGCGGTGAAGTAGTTTACGGGGGAAAGCAGTGCAGTGGATATACTCATCAGTATGGGTTAGGGCAGTCTGGGCGTGGGGTAAGCACAATGGGGGAATGTACCAGCCAGAGATTTTAATGCCGCAGGGACAAAGCTTCAGGCTTTTCCCGACATCATTGGTGTTAATAGCCATAGCCATGGTTGGCTAGTGGGCTTTAGACACTAGCAGGGGTGTGAATTTGCCAAAAAGCTTGTGCAGCTCCTGGGTAAAAAGTGGGAAAATATTGCTAGTTTCCAAGCTACAATGAAAAGTAAGGCTACTCTTCAGGAGGTATTGCTACCCATGAGGTATTGCTACCTGTTATGGGGTAATCTGCTGATGCTACCTGTTACAAGGTATTGCTCCCTGCCGGTATTGCTAGCGTTACCCTTATTAGCAGAAGTACCAATTAGGGCTGGCACGAATTCGAATGTTATTTGAGCTTCTGACGCAGGAGGCATTCCCCATAGTGAGACAAGAAAATAATGCTATGAAAGAGAACCAGAAAATACTTTCTCAGAAAATGTGATCCAGTTTTATTAAAATCAGTGAATAAAGTTAAAACGTTTTTGTACAGTTTGACTAATTCTGATTGGATGGTCAGTGGATAACGTTTTGATTAACTAGTTAGCTTTGGTGTCCTGCCCAAATTTTAATCATAAAATGCAAAATATTTAACTTTCACACATTAACCAACTTGAATTTGATACATTTTTTCTTTGAAAATTCACACATTCAGACACATGCATGCATATTTTTTCACATGCACATAAAAGGCGATATACAACTGCAGGTTGTGCAATCATTTCCCAAGCCCAAAATATTAATGACTCTGATTTGCTTCCATTGAAATATGGTTTACAGGCTTTCATTATAGGTGTGCAAGACAGGCACTGTGGCTGTTCTCCCATGCCACACCTTTGTTTCTTAACACTTGCTGTCTGATTACTCATGCAGTGTCTTTGTAACTTTGTAAATACTGTATACACCGTATGCATTTAAAGGTGGGGTCAGTCATTCTGGAGAAAAATAATTGTGAGTCTCCTTCGCAGGTGAAATACCGAGGCTTTGAGAGCACAAACACTACCTGTGTGTCTCGGACGACCTGGGAATGAGACTCAACATTACAAACAAACTATCTTTCTCCAGAATGACTGATCTTTAAGGGGGAGGAAAGCAGTATAACCAGTCTTTCAGATGAGAACACCTCTGTGTTAGAAAAAATGCTAGGGTCTAGTAGGCATGGAACAATCAGGAAGCAAATAGTGCCTGGTGAGCCCTTTTTACAAGCAGATATTAAGATACTAAACATTATTCATGGGGATGCCTTGCCTGAAAATCCACTCTTTCTACAAAATATTGTGGAAAACTACAAAGGTAGATCAGTGTTATGCCTTTTAGTGTTTTGTGGACTTCCTAGAAATGTCTTATTACATGACATGTAATTGGCTTCATGAAACCCATACTCCAACATTTAACATCCCCAGCAGCAAAATATGCTTTCTGCTTCAGTGTAATAAAGAAACTGATACACAAACACTTCCACCTAAACTCCCACCACATCTGACAGGGTTCCCACGTATCCTAGAAAACCTGGAAAGAAGAGAAGGTGTTAAGATAAGATAAGATATTCCCTTAGTAGTCCCACAATGGGGAAACTCCAATCTTACAGCAGCAAAGTGGATAGAGAAAAAAACAGTATAAAGACAGTATAAAAAAACAGTATGAAATAATATAATATAATATAAACACTGTACAAGAGAAAAAAAAACAGTAAAAAGTAAGTAAAATAACACAATAACACAAATACTAGCAGCAGTTGCACATGGGAAATAGATTGCACAGTAATTATTGTCCCTTGATTATTAGGGACCGAGCACAATGACAACTGTGAGGTCCCTATTGTT